CAATCTGCTTCATGATCGTCTTGCAATTGCTGGCCGTAAATCAGTTTTCGTCTCAAACATACGACTTCTTTCTTCTGCAGTAGTTACCACGTTTTCGGTCCAGTGCAGTAAGAAAATTAGTTTGGAATGTCTATCTGCTTTGGTATCATTGTGTCGCCAGCTCACCTTTTGATATTTATTAGACAATTGCTAAAACATCAGCCAACAAAGCAAAAAAGGAACATTGGTTTTTGTTCCGTAGTTTAGAAAGGCTTCATGAGTGCCATAAATAGATAAAAGTAACAATGAAACGGCAACTCCCTTCTCGAACAAATGCTTAATACGAAGAAAGGGTTCTAGCAAGTGCCCCTTAAAACAGTGGTTCTTTATTCAATCAGTAGTGAGGGCACCTACTTTTTTGATTAATGTCTCATTTAATCTGATTAGTTACTCGGCTACGCTATAGTATTTTTTTCAGCCGCAGTTTTCTAGAGCATATTATCACTGGGCATTAAAAATTTGTGGGTTTGAAGGGATTATAAGATCGTGCTTGAAGAGCCTTTAAAGTGGCTTTGCAATTCCAATTTATCAACGCTAGGTTGCCGCATAGGTATTTTGTAATCTCCCATTTTAACATGATTTTACATGACGGTGCTTTTTTTGAAACATCTCACTTAGTGCATTTACTGCTATTTTCTTTCCTGTTCCAACGCATTTTTCATCGTCTGTATCAGTGCAGCTTCTTAGACTGAACGAGAGAAGAAACTATCTTATATAATTGAAAACAACGACAAAATATTTAAAACGACGCTACTGTTCTCTGGAACTTACCATCCAAAACAACGAAAATCAGCTCAAAAAAAGAAAGCTTCAGAAGTCCTCAAAAAGCCTCAGTTAAAAATGTGACTGCTGTTTTCTCGTCTGAATTCCTTTAATCCAAATTTTGACTTTTCCTAACGTTAGATATACGGTAAAAAGTAAATTTTAAATTTGAGACATGTTACATCCGCGAAATCTCTGTATAAAGGGAGTGAAGCGACCGACTGTCTATCCTCCAAAAGCTTCCCTTTGAAAGCGGCCAATTTTTCTCACCATGCAAAGAGTGGTTAGAAATTTGTTTGCAGTTTTTCACAAAAATCAACTTCTTTTCAGTAGTACTAAGATGATACTTAGCTGATTTTTTAAACTGACAATTGAAAACGCTTCTTTTAAATGTTCTGTATTTCTTCCTAGTGGGTCGACAGATTCGTGACCTTTCAGATGGTCCGCTGTTCTTTTCAAAGGTGTTTCGACTTATGCATACCGACCAATCAAATTCTCTGGATTAAGCAATCTTCTTGCTTTGACTGGTGTTTGCCCGACTGCTGGCAGTGTCCCGTCTGGAGCAAACAAACTGCGTCCAGGGCTTTCTAAAGGATGAAAAAACTAGCTAAAAGATAACTAGGGTCATCTATTTTCTTGAAGAGGAACTTGAACCAATCATTGAGATCCCTACTTTTCTCAATACTAACTCTTGATTTGCTTTCTTTCTTTTCACCGACACCTGCAACCGTTGCACACTTTAGCCTCCGCGAGGATACTACTTGTCTTTTAGCCACGTAAGTGCCCAGTATGTGGGGGTTTTTTTGACAACATTTGTCAGATTCAGAGGGGTTAAAGCAGAAAATTTTTTTTCTGACTCTTAAGCAACCGTTCTATAAGCTCTATCAGAATCAGAAAACGCGGGCAGAATGATGTGAAGGAAACTCTGCCAGTGAAAAAAGCGCATCTTAAAAATTTCCGTTTACTTACCATGTTTTCCGTTATCGTCAACTGACTCGGGTAACAGAAACAAAGCAAATCACTCAGTTTTACCTTTAACCTTTATCAGCAGTTACTCTTTTTCTTTACTTTAATACTTTAAATTCAAGGCTTTTTAGTTCAATTTTTTCATAAAGATTGATTAAAATGTTAAGTAGTAAACTTATGTTACATTTTTCGCTTAAATTATTATCCTAAAAAAACTTACATTTCACCAAAAAATTAATTCGCAGTAATCAACTACAGTTTTGAAAACGCAACGGATATCAATCATATTGTATGATACTTTGTATCTCAAGGAAAAAACAGCCATCAAAAACAGGTGGACTGGTTATAAACAGCACAACCAGGCTCTTGGGTATAAACTCTACAAATTAATTCATCACAGAAATATTTAACTGAAAAGCAGTAAGGTATTATCGCTCACGTTTGTGTTTTACGATGATGCATTACAGAAAATTTTTAAGATAGAATTGATTTACGTCGGCAATAAATCTGAAAGTTCCACAGTGAATTCATTTCAAGTTTTTTCTTGCATTCAAAAAAACATCAGCTATGAGTACTCATTTTAAAATCTTTAAACAGTCATGCTTTGTTTTATTTTTAATTATGCGAAAAAAACTGTAGATTTCGTCGCATTTTACAAGTTTGCAGCTTTTTTGGTTGTCGATAAGAAAGGTGCTTCTTTCTTTGTAAACTTTACTACTTACGCGATTCAAGAAAACCGGGATACTATTTATGAACAGTGCTTCTTCATGTCCTTAATGCTGATTGGCACACAGCTTTCCTTTGAAACTACTAAATCAGAAAAGAAATATTCAGTTGTTACATCTGCCAGGGTAAAAGTTGCTGCTCAAATGTTACTGGTTTTTACATACAAATGCTGCGCTTACACATAAAGACAGTGAGTCATCATACTGTCAAACGGTTTTTTAAATTTTTGTCTAAAAAATATTTCACTATCTAAAATTAGAAATATCTTCTACCTGTTCTATATTAGTTCAGTAAACATTAATTGGAACACAATGTGCTCAGACCGTTTATAATATTAACAGCCAGAAATTAAAAATTTAGTTGAAAATTGATGATCAAATTATAATCAGAAATTTTCTGAATTAATGCCTGACCTAGATCTTTTTTCACAATTTGATATTGCTCTTCAGTTAACGTCTAACACAACAAAAGTAGCACTTCAGATGCAATCCGTTTTTTCACTAGACAATTTTCTTGTGTACACACCAACTTCAAAATTGTATCAGCTAGCACTGAAAACTTGATAAACCAACACTGAGCTGAACAATGTTTAGTCACTTGGGAGGAATTCCTGTTAAGTATCAAAAACTATACGTTTGGCAAAGAAGCCCATAAACAACTGCAAGCAATCACAATCCAGAAACTTGCTGATTCAAAAAAAATTTAAGAGGAAAGAATGAAAAGACAAAAACTAAATATACATAAAGAACGTGTTTCGGAAATAGAATCGTAAAAGCATCATATTTCATTGTAACAGTCACAAGACATCAATAGAATTTTAAGTTCTTCCTGTGGAATATAATCATTTATTAAACTTGCTCCTCTTTTCACCTCACATTTTCACGAAAATTTGAAGCGTTTGGCTTTCTTTGCTAACAAAATTACAAAGAAAAAAATTTTTGCGGTGACACGTCGCAAGAAACTGCCACTCAGCATGAACAGAGACTATGAATCCAAGTGGGCACAGGTAGTCTCAACTGTAAAAAATTCAGTAGTACCTGGAACCTCTAAGCCAAAGATATTTTATAATAGTTGTCAAGATTAGAATGATCTAAAGTTTTTATTGGCTGATCTGTTTTCATTTTGTCAGGCCCTTTTACTTCACAACGACCTGATTTTGCTCTTCCCTCCTTTACACTTGCGCTACGTTGGATGCAAAAGCTTACAAGGCAGAGGCCTCAACCGATTGACTACAAAATCCAAAACCCATCCAAGATGCTTCAAGCTGTTGTCGATACAGAAACAGCGCATTTTAGTACCAGCTTATAGATCACAGTCTAGATCCATCTGGTGTTGTGTGGTACTTGCAGCCCTCCTGTAATCAAGCACTTAGTATTGGCAGAATTCCATCAGAAGGGGTTATTTAACTTTCTTATAACATTGCTCAACAGAACCTGAATGATTCTTGATTCAAAAATGATTCGATCATTCTGTCCTTTTCATATTGCTACCTAAAGGTTTTCATTATCGGTGAATTTTCATATTTTCATTATGTGAACATAAAAGATTTATTAATAGGAAAAATTTTTCTTTATTTCTTGGTTATCAAAGATTTTTAGCTGCTTTTGCTTCTTATAGACGTGTTAACACTACAGGATTTCATGAGTGCGGACCTGTTCAGCTGTGTTGGAAGCAATTTTATTGCAGTCATAGACGAACAAATATATATAAATATAACAATAAATGACGTATCAGTGATTTGCAGAAATTTTTGGCTTCAACATAACGTTAGGGTCTTGCAGTGATTTTATCATGATTCTAAAATTTAAAAGCGAATGGATATGATTAATTTTTTTTATGCGAGAAGTGCCTACTCGTTTTGTTGTCGATAAAGTGCTGCTTATTGGCACTTACTAGAAGTGGGGAAGACCTTGATTTTTGTGGTGTTATATTTTGGCCTCTTCTTTGTTTTAAAAACAAAAACAAAAACAAAAACAAAAAAAAAAAAAAAA